ACAGCTGTTGCTGCTACTACTACTCCTGCTGCTGCAGCTACTACTACCACTACTACTACTACCACCACCACTACTACTACTACCACTAGCACTACCACTACCACTACGACTACTACTGCTACTACTACTACTACTACTACTATTCCTGCTCCTGCTTTGGGGATGTGGCTTTGCCCCCTCTACCCTGCAAAAGGCGAAAGTTTGGCGAAAGTTCAGCTCAAGATTAGCGAACGTTTACCCTGCCACATCTGACCCCCAGCCCATTATGAGTAAGTCTGAGTGACCGGCTACTACGGTGATTCTTGCAATGTTGATTCTTGCTGACACCCAGGAGAAACAAAAGAGACGTACAGGGTGTCAACGGTGAAGTAGAAGACACATACTGACAAGCAGTGAAGTTTTTATTTCGTATTTGCCAGTAAAGAAGAAGCCATTGACGTGAACAAAATTGATACCCATCATACAACACACATGGCACACATAAATACAACGTACATCGGCGAAAGATAAAACGCAGGAAGGCGAAAGTTTGGCTAAAGTAATTTTTGTTGGCTAAGATGACGGATCCCGGATAAAGGAATTTTGATCAACACTCATATATATATATATTATATATACATGTATTTATACTTTTATAGACGTATATACATATATTCATACATGAACTGGACAATATATGCAGTATAACATATTGTACATTATATACAATAACGCGTTTGGAGGGTACAGGTGGAAGCAAAAAACTATATAGGCCACGGTTGCACATTTACAAGAGGCACGTACTGCCAACACTCTGGCAATATGGATTCCTCAGGAAACGTGTGCTTGGAGATATTGGGAATTTGGTAGGATTTGTGAGCAGATTTGACTAGCTAGGGTTAGTTTGCTCTGAATTCTGAGGTTTGAGTATGTCACTGGACTTGTCATCCTGCTCAACATGGTCACCATCGGTGCCGAACTTAGGGCTCCGAAAGTGAATTGTTGGGGCCTCGCCGCTTGTGTCGCACAGGCTTCTGGCAAGTGTGGGTTCCTTTTAGATCCTGTTGAACACCTGGTTTTTTTGCCGGTTTAGTTTTTGCTGAAACCACGCTTTGCAATTTTGATAATGCGTTCATGTTTCTTGCTTGAAGCCATGAGGCTGTCCCCCGTGCACCCTCCTGAAACAGAAATGTCCTTGAAAGCTTTGGCGTCAACCAAGTTCAATGGATTGTTCTAACTTCCAGAAGCGGTGTCGTTCATGCATTGCAATCGCAGCAATGATTTGTTTCCAGCTCTAGTCTGTATTCTTGACGTCTTTCAGTTTGGTTGTGTTTGGCGAACCTCTCTGAGACTAACTGACAAACGTCTACAATTGTAGAGTCAATATTTTATAGCTGCTTGGGTACGGTTCAGACAGATAGTTAGACGGCTTTTCAGACAAAGCGGGTCATGTACAAATCCTCTGATTGCAGGCATAGAAGCTGAGTTATCTGCTCATGGCACTTCTGAGAGCTGGGCTGTCGACGCGGCCACTTGGAAGTCTCAGCAGGCAAGTGTGTTCCTCGGAAGTTTGGGATAACCTTTGCCTGAAAGGTTGTTGTTTCGAACCGTTTGATCCTTATTTTGCTGTTTTATCCTGGTTCTTGTCCTCCTGGCAGATGATTTGTTCGCAGCATTGCTGTAATGCGCATTCGACATGCATTATGTAGATGGATGCTCTTTGGTATTCTTTGGTGGTACAGGCAAGGGTACCTCCCATTCCCCCTTCACTTGATTGGTCTTCTGCCACGCTTTCAATTGTTTGGGCAGCATCTTCGGCTCTTGGGTTTCCATAGCTCAAGCAGATACTGCACAAGTCATGGTTTATTTATTTGCAGATGAAGAGAACAAGATGTGGGTGGGGAAGAAGCGATCAAAGAGCAAAGATCAAAGGAGACGAGCAAGGCAGACTTGCTTCTTCTCTCAAAAAATGCCAAGGAAAGAGTGTTCCTGGCACTCTACACTATTGAAGCTTGGCTTCAGGGCATTGAAGGCTAGAAATGGCCCAACGTTTTCGAAGTTCGGACGGTTTTGGAATCTTGCTTTGATGGTCAACAGATTTGGTTTGAACTGCGTGATCTTGTTTGGTTTTGGAGTGCAGTGAGGGCAGTGAGTTTTTCTTCATGTTCTCCAGCTGCCAAGCCAAGCTAAGCAATTCTGACGTCCTTGAGGCATTTCGGGAACGAACTGTGAGGGCCCACTCCGCGGTTTTTGACTGGCCCCAGTTGGTCCAGGCTTGCTCGCTGGGACCATCATTGGCTTGTTGGATTCCAACGCGTTGAAACGCTGCGGTGAACATCAGCAATGATGCGGTTTTATCTTTTTTGGTGGCAGCCAGTTCTGAAACTGCAGACTTTTTTGTGCGTTGTTCCTTCGCTGATTCCACGCCGAGGAGATTACACTGAGAATCATCGGCCTTGGGACCAAGAACTTGACTATCCTTTGGTTCTACTTGGACTTTTTTCTAGTTGCCATCGGCTTGTTCCTTGTCTGGGGCCAGGAAAGCCGCTGAAGCTTGTGCACTCGATGACACGGGTGTGGCTCAAGCTTTTCATTGTGTATATTGTGTCAGAGTCCGTGCAGGCACCTGGTAGAAGAGAGTGTGTGTTTGGGGGCAAATTTGGCAGACTGAAGACATGAACACGCCGCCCCACTCCCCTCTCGTTGATGAAGCTCGCATCTAAGGTTGGCTAGGGTAGCGGTTCCCGTTTTCGGACTAGGACTTGCGCTCAGACTTCAACGGGAATGGGTTTCAGATTTGTTCGCTATGCCTGCTGCTTTTCTACATGCGTCAGTTGCTTGAGTGCCGGCATAAGACTTGCTGTGGAACAGCCAAAGAAGTGAAGTGTTTGACATGAATTATTGGACATATCCAAATCGTGGCACAAAAGCAATGTAACTATAGATATATAAATGGGAGAGACGAACACGACCGCACAATGCCCATCAACAATAAAAGGAAAGAAGTCAAGGGCCACGGGATTGTCTCGAGGAGCAAGGAGCCCGTGGACCTCAAGAAAAGCATATACAAGAGAACCTACAATTCACCAGCAATGCTACGGTTCACGAAGACTCTCGCAAAATACATAGAGTCAATGAATTGAAGATGACATCGAAGTCATCTGAAGTGCACAAAGACATACTATATCAGGTGAGTGAGAGACAGAGAGAGAATTGATTTCACGGACTCATATTTGTCCGTTGTGAGGAGACTTGGCCGGGTTTGAAAAGCTGCTCTTGGTGAGATGCACTTTGGATGCAATTAGAGATAAAGGTCCAAGTACCACTGTGATGATTTGAACATCTCGTGTGTTCGTTTCGCCGCAGGTTTGCGGCTTCTGAGACTGGTGCGAGCGCTGCGCATGATCAGCCATTTCAAGGCGCTGAGTTGGTGAATTCCTGTTTTTTGTTGTGTTTAAATCTATTTTTGTTTGAACTGTATCAACCTCAGTGGATAAGAACCCGAACAGAGGAGTGGGGTGAGTGTTGTGGCCATGATGATGCTGATTCATCTCTCGTATCGTGATCACGGCCTGCTGAATCTCACGACGGAGATAAACATCCTTGGTGCCGTGAAGATGAACATCCTTGCGTGGTCACAACGAATTTACAAGAGAAGTCAAAACTGAAATTAAAAGGCCAACTCTATGACTGACTGGAACGCACACATGGAACACACAAAACAAATAGGGCTTGAGAAAACACATCCGTTTTTACTGACAAATACGGAAACCACATCAAATATGTGTTCGTCCTTCAAGATCAAATAGGGCTTGAGAACTTGAATGCACATGTGCCATGAGCTTTGATGAGCTTTGTACATACACGTCTTGCTAGCAAGCACAATGTCTCCTTCGCCCTCACCGGCATGGTTTTTCCAATTTCGATATTAAAGACACAGAATCAAAGAGCGTTGCTTTGAACACTGCGTTTGTTCTAGTCGGACACATGGCTCCTTGGTTTTACTCTTGGATTGTATGCAATTTTGTTTTGGTCTACTGGATCTTCTGACTTCAAAAGGATTGTTGTGTGCGTGTGTGTCTTTTTTAAAGCTGCATTTCAGACGCTGTAGAGGTTGAGATGAGGATTGCGAGCGCCCATGTGTTTTCACACACACAAACACATCGCTTGGTGTGTCAACATAGGTTTTGTGCTGGGACTTTATGCCATGCTTCGGATTCATTATTGGTTAGACTTTCTGCCACACGGCTTCAGTGAACAGGTGATGTGGCGCTTGGTCTACAGCCTTCTGACTGCTGGGCAGACCCTTCTCTCTACTGCTGTTTTGACATTGTTGCTTGCCTTGGACATGAACAAGGCAGTGGAGCATTGATGCCAAGCAGCAGGGCACCAAGACAACACGCCACCCACTCCTTTACTGTCAATTTATTACAATATACTGTACCTGATAAAGCTGTCCAAGAAGATACATCTATTCTGAACTCAGAACCCACACATGTTCTCCGCACATTTGAATCTTGCAGGTAGATACTGCTGCAAGTATGTTTCTAGTGTTGACTCATAGTCTTTTAGTCTTTCTGTTTTTTTGTCGAGCAGTGCGATACACATGTTACACCAACAAGACGGGCCATCCCACCACAGAGACGGAATCCTTCATGTGATGTCCTTGCAAGCATGGCTAATGACGGAAAGCGATGAATATCGCTTTGAGTTTCTCCCCGGTAGGTTGACGGAAAGCGATGAATATCGCTTTGAATTTCTCCCCGGTAGGTTTTGCTGGGGGGGGGGGGGGGGGGGGGGTGAAAGTTCGAGATTTGGATTTGCATACTCTTGGGTGTCTTGAAGCAATATGTTGAAATTAACGAAACACTATAAAACACGGCAACAAATGAGACTTTTTGGCATCATGAATGCAATGTTTCTTGACAAACTGGGCCCCGACTTTCCACAAGGGCTTCGGATACAAAAATGACAGAGAAAATGCTAAAAAAGTCGGGGGCATTCCGCAGCACCACTTGCATCACTACGAGGTGCATGGGAGGCACAAAGAGCACAGAAGAGACGGAAACAAAACAAATCAACTTGAGATGATAATCGTTTGACACCAAGGCCCACAAGAAGACAGAAAGAGCACAGAAGAGACAGAAACAAAGCAAATCAACTTAAGATGAGAGGTTTTTTGACACCAAGGCCCACAAGAAGACAGACAGAGCAAAGAAGAGACAAAACAAAGAAAATCAACTTAAGATGAGAGTTTTTGACACCAAGGCCCACAAGAAGACAGAAAGAGCACAGAAGAGACAGAAACAAAGCAAATCAACTTAAGATGAGAGTTTTTGACACCAAGGCCCACAAGAAGACAGAAAGAGCACAGAAGAGACAGAAACAAAGCAAATCAACTTAAGGTGAGAGTTTTTTGGCACCAAGGCCCACAAGAAGACAGAAAGAGCACAGAAGAGACAGAAACAAAGCAAATCAACTTAAGCTGAGAGTTTTTTTGACACCAATGCCCACAAGAAGACAGAAAGAGCACAGAAGAGACAGAAGCAAAGCAAACCAACTTAAGCTGAGAGATTTTTTGACACCAAGGCCCACAAGAAGACAGAAAGAGCACAGAAGAGACAGAAGCAAAGCAAATCAACTTAAGATGAGAGTTTTCTTGACACCAAGGCCCACAAGAAGACAGACAGAGCACAGAAGAGACAAAAACAAAGAAAATCAACTTAAGATGAGAGTTTTTGACACCAAGGCCCACAAGAAGACAGAAAGAGCACAGAAGAGACAGTTTATTGACACCAAGGCCCACAAGAAGACAGAAAAAGCACAGAAGAGACAGAAACAAAAAGATGGGAGTTTTTT